CGCTGCTGAAACTGACCAGCGCTGACTACAGGAAGCCCGAGGCAGAGTTGCTCTGCCCCGGGCTTCCTGGGATCAGCCGCTGATCAGTTTCAGCAGCAGCTGACTTCGGGACGCTTGGGGTTCTTAAGTTAAATCTGTATGTAAGTCAGAACTGGTGGTCAGTTTCAGCAGCGGCTGAATCTGGACGCCAGTTCCGACTTACATACAGATTCAACTTAAGAACAAACCTACAGTCCCTATCTTGTACGTAACCCGGGGACTGCCTGTACATAAGAACCAATACAGGTGCTTTTGCAAAAAGATACATTTAATCTCTTCCAAGAACCTTCCTGATGTCTGGACAAAGCCATCGAGCTGCTAGCCCCTGAACTTCTGAGCTTCCCCACCTAGCTCTGCCTTATCCAACTCTCCTCCAATCTATGAAACTGAAAGGACAACCTGATCATAGGTATATCTCTATAAAAAAACCAAACAAGAATAGAGAAAGAAAAAAAGATATCCACATACAATTGGCTAGATCTTCTACTGGACTAAATCATGTGAAATATATATGAATCTATATTTAGTTGAGGGTTAATCCTTTATTTAGTTTGCACACCAAAGTAGTGTGAAATAATGTCTGACTATGTATTCTACTTCTGCAATCCTATTTATATACACAATAAAGCATAGTAGTAAGGAAAGACAATCCTATAAAAGTGATTTATTGATGTTTTACACAAATTTTTTTTCTGTAAATTCAATACTTATTTTCTGTAAATTCAATAGTTGTCTCAAGATTTATTATTTTAACCAGTCAGTGCTGTAAGCTGAACTTGAAAACTGAAAAAAATTCATCTGTATTTTTTCAGCTTCATTTATCAGCATGAACAATAAAGAACCCAAAGCCAAAACTGGAATTCTGTTACTGATGCTTGAGGAAGAATAGAAGCCAATTTGGTCATGTGTATTCTCTATTCCCACTATCAACAGGAACATAACACCGATTTCGTCCATAAACTCAGCACAGTTGGAAACAGAGGGAACAAATATCTGTAGTGCACCAATGTTCACTTTTAGTAATTTTTCTGATTTCCACCACCCTTAGATAGTTGCACGGTACGTACATCTTCATGTTCATTATGGACAGTTACAAATGAAAGTCATCAACACAAGAGCATTAATTTGCAGGCATGTACGAAATGGTCATATGCCTAGCAAATCCAAGCAGTTCATTATCCCCCTCGGTACGTAAACAAATCTTTCAGTGTGGAATCAGGACGTATCATGGGATAGTACTGCCAACTTGGTCCAGTGAGCTCTAGGCAGTGGGTAATAAAACAGAACAACCTCAGAACCAGTCTCGAGAATTTTGAAAAAACAGAAAGAAGTGCATGAATAAAAATGCCTTGCAAATTTGTTATATAGAAAGCCACTGGGAAAGTGCTCCAATCCTAGCAAATAATCACCAGCCACCATTACGGCTGTAGCAATGAAAAGCCCAGTTGACTCCAGAGTTAGGTGGGCGTTTGAGGCTTTTTTGGGGGTATGTTTTTTTTGTCTATACTTTGGACATGCATTGACATCATTGAATGTCCACTGCAAAAGCCTGCAGGAAAATTCCTAAGATAGACAAGGGCATAAATTATGAGAAATAACAGGGAATTGGAGAAGATTGTGGGGTTCAAGTAAATTACTACAGTCTCATGCATGCTTCATGATGTTAATGATAATGGAAGCAGTAACACTGAAAGCAATGTCTTCCAGGCTATAATTTGGAGATGCAGGTGCTAATTGAATGCTTTTGTTAATGCATCATATGTTGACCAGTGCTTCAGTAAATGCCATGCTAAATGACAATGACATCCTGCACTGCTTTGATATACTCACCTGAGGCACCTCTCAGATGGCATCCTTCTCCTGAATCTCAATGCTTAAAATCTTCTGGAGGAGGAGAAGGCAAACATTATAGCTAAAAGAGACCAACAAAGAGAAGGTATATTAAAATTTGAAGCAAAGGTAACTTCGGATTTAAAGATCAAAACTTTGAGGAGGACAAACTGAAATTTCACATTTTTTTGTCCATCCTTATCACAAAACTTTGTTGGCTAAATTGATCCTGGACTTGCCACATCAGTTAGGAAAGATTTTTTTTTTAAGTTAGTTGACCTCTGGCACCTAATTGCTTGAGTGCCAGCACCTCTTTCATTACAAATTAAACACCGTCCCTAATGCACGTTGAAAATTACAACTCCTATTCACCTGGATTAGGATGTCTCCATAAAACATTAACTAAGGGACAGATTCTTCCTGGATCTGACATACATATGTATTTGGGATAGGGGAGACACAAGAAGTCTTTTCCTTCTCTTCCTTCCACCTTACATGGGCTCTCTAAAGAGCCAACAGAATTGCTGTACCTACTCCCTAGATAGGCACAGTGGCATAAAGAGGGTACGGACATCTCTCCCCACTCCCATACCTGGCCTCTGCACTGGGCCTGGGCTGGACTGGTGAAGCAAAGCAGACTATATGCACCCATGATGCAATGCAGCACCACACCATGCCTTAAGAAGATTAATGCCTAAAATCAATTCTATATTCCAAACTACCGGCCATTCTGGATCTTTTTAAAACAAATGTAACTTAATTGAGTCTAAAAGCTGAACCATACACTTAAATGTGAAATTAGTCTCACATTCCTTTCTGCACCCAACCTCTGTCCCAAATCCAGCACCCCACACCTCTATAGAAAAGTGCTGCCCTTGACCACTTACCAAAATCTTGGAGTGTCCCCCCGCTATCAAAAATGACTGCCCACCCCTGCATTAAAAATTATTATATGTAAAATATATATTTCCAGAGTAACATCTGAGAGCTGAGTTGCCCTGTTCTTATTTTAAAAAGCTATTCATTTAAACAAATTTAATTATGGAGTAAGAAAGAACAGAAAACATTTGCATTATCACCAGGAGACAGTCAGTGCTTATGAAGAATGCATTCAAGGGTACTGAAATCAATAGGATTTGATTTGTGCATCTGTACAGATGTTTGCCTAATTTGTTTATATTTATTTCCATCTCTTCCACAGGACAAGAGAGGAAGTATTTCTGTTAATGCAAAGAAATAATATTAGCATTGATACCAACAGGATCTTATTTTTGTTGATTTTTCCTTCTTCTAATCTTACTTTCAGCCTTCTTCACAACTTGAATACTGCAAATATCTCATTGGTTGCTCTGCTTCAACTACATAAAAATTCCCCAATTAAGAGTGCAACGGGACCATTTATACCTATAAAGTTACTTACACTTGTTTTAACTGTTATCAGCATCAGCACTCAAGTGCCTGAGTCTCTACATACCATATTTTGTTCAAAATATTATTCAGATCTGTTTTGTCTCAGGCTAGCAATACATTTGTGTATGTGAAACCCAATCAATGATGGCTGATGGCTTGCAGAGCTTTTCTAAGCTCAAAGCTCATCAGGCTACAGTTATTTCAAACAGCAGTAACTTTAATGTATTTACTTCACGTAAATATGAATCCACGGTTATTCTCAATCTTACCACTCTAACTTTGACTATGCCAAGCCATAATTCAGGATTGATAATTCAGAAATATAGTGATTGAAAAACATAATTCTAAATCAGCAGGGGAGTGGAGATTATTCTAACAGACAAGTTACTGACTCACTTCCCCCTGGTGCTTATGGAGTTGCAGTGATCTAATAGTGGGAACATGTGACAAAACCACCCCAAATAGGACATGACATTATTTTGATTAAATTTGTCTACTTTTAATGCAGCCTTATATTGCTGATTAACATACTGCACACACACACACACACACACACACACACACACACACACACACACACACACACACACACACACAAATGTTATTTTAATTGCAGCACTCACTGTTAGGAAGACCCAGACATATGAATGGCTATGCTACATTAATTCTGCCCCCTTGTTAATCCACCCTGATCACTGAATGAGACAGGAGAAAAAAATATTGTGATCATGTAATTAAAGACTGTATTATGATGTGTATGCACTGGCACCTAGAAGTCTCCTGTTTTAAACTTTCAAGAACTTGACTTTGCAACCTAAGTAATATTATGTTACTGTATTTGTATGTACAGCCGCTTTCCGAGTTACAAACGAGTTACGGACCAACACTTGGTCTGTAATTCGAACTGTTTATAACTCAGATCCCACAGAGTTACATGGCAACTGTGCTGTTTGTAAGCGCGGATCACCATTCGTAACTCGGATCCGCATTTACGACCGCTTTGGTCATAAGTGCGGATGGTCATAAGTGGAGGTGGCCGTAAGTCAGGGAGCGGATGTAATTTCTAGGGCAGGAGTGGGAAATAATTTTTGGTGGGGGGTCACTTGAAGATTTTGGTAAGTGGTCAAGAGCTGCACTTTTCTGTGGTACAGAAGGGCACACAGGGTAAGGGACTGGAGTGCAGAAGATGGTGTGGGGTCTAAGAGGGTGTTTGGGTGAAGGAGGGGGTTGTGACCTGGGGCACAGGGTACAGAGAGTTTGGATGGTGACCTGGGGGAGGGAGTTGGGGTGTGGAAGGGGCGGGGGTGCCAGAAACAGGCTCTGGCTGGGAGGAGCTTCCCTAAGTAACTCCCAGCCTGCAGCAGCACCCCCAAGGCAGGCTGGGCTCCCTGTCTACTGTAGCCCCAGACCAATTGAAAAATACAGGCTGCTCCGCCCACATGGCTCTCAGCTCCACCTGGGGAAAGAGGCTTGCCCTGCCCCCAGCTCTGATTGGTGGGCTGTTTCCAGCCAATAGGACCTGAGAGATTGGCTGAGCTCAGTTCTTATTGGCTGGTTGTTTCTGACCAATAGAAGCTGAGGATTAGGCTGGGGGTAGGAAATAACAGAACTGCCCCCCTCCTTGCAGAGCAGAGAAACATAGGGACTGCACTTTAAACCGTAGCAGCTGTGTGCCTGAAGATCCCAGCAAAATAGTCTATGTTCCTGATCCGGTGGCTTGACAGGACAGATCTGGCCCCAAGGCCGTATTTTGCCCGACCCTGTGCCAGGGGCTTGCTGATGATTTTTAAAGGAAAAAGATCAGTTATATTATGTGCAATTGTACAGGTTGAACCTCCTAAATCTGAGACTCTCTGGTCCATCAATATCTGTGGTCCAGCAGGATCATGGATGCTGCTGGACCAGAGAGCCCCAGCTCCTGGGAGTGCAAGCCAGTCAGGAGTCCAACAGCGGAGAGCCCCATCTTCAGGACAAGTGACCCGACCCAGTGCAGCAGCAGCAGGGCAGCCACGGAGCTCTGACCTAGCGCAGCAGCAGCAGGGCAGCCACAATGTCCTGTTCCCCAGGAAGCCCCACCTGGGTGGGACAGAAATGGGGCCATGGCAGCAGGGGAGCTCCATCTCCGGAGAACCCTAGATGGTTTGCAGCAGTGGGCCAGATCAGAGCCCAAGCCCTGTAGCAGACCCAGTGCAGCAGCAGCAGGGCAGCCACGGAGCTCTGACCTAGCGCAGCAGCAGCAGGGCAGCCACAATGTCCTGTTCCCCAGGAAGCCCCACCTGGGTGGGACAGAAATGGGGCCATGGCAGCAGGGGAGCTCCATCTCCGGAGAACCCTAGATGGTTTGCAGCAGTGGGCCAGATCAGAGCCCAAGCCCTGTAGCAGTAAGAGCAGAGCCAGCTGGAGGGTGGAACAGTGTCCTGGGAGGCCAGTGGCAAGGGATTTGGCAAATTCACTCATTTGGGACATGTCAGGTTCCGAGGGAGTTGGACTAGGAAGGTTCAACCTTTAATAGTTTCCCCATAGTGCATCAGCAGAGTTTGAACTCTAAACTCTTGCCACTGTGGTGAAGACTGCTATCACTTGAATAATAACACTAAGTACATCATATACTTTGACTCTGTCAGAGAACTGATAGGCAGAATACACTGGGAGGTTAATATGAAAGGGAAAGGAGTCCAGGAGAGCTGGCTGTATTTTAAAAAGGCCTTACTGAGGGTGCTGGAACAACCTATCCCAATGTGCTGAAAGAGTAGCAAATATGACAGGCAACCAGCTTGGCTAAGCAGAGGTCTCTACAGTGAGCTTAAACACAAAAAGGAAGCTTACAACAAGTGGAAACTTGGACAGGAAAAAGTATAAAAACAGAAGGGCTTTTACAGATTTGTTAGTAATAAGAAGGTGGCCAGGGAAAGCATGGGACCCTTACTGGATGGGGAAGGCAACCTAATGACAGATGATTTGGAAACAGCTGAAGCAGTACTCTATTTATTTATTTATTTTGCTTTGATCTTCACAGGCAAAGTCAGCTCCCAGACGGTTGCACTGGGCAGCACAGTAAGAGGAAGTGAACAGCCCTCATGGGTGAAAGAACAGCTGGGCATGCAGAAGCCTATGGAGATGACTCTAATGCATCCAAGAGTGCTGAGAGTGTTGGCTGATGTGATTACAGAGCCCTTGACCATTGTTTTTTAAAACCTTTGGCAATCAGGGGCAATCCCAGATGTTTGGGAAAAGGCAAATGTAGTACCTATCTTCAAAAAAAGGGAAGAAGGAGGATCTGGGTCAGCCTCACCTCAGTCCTTGGAAAAATCATGGAGCAGGTTTTTCAGGAATCAATTTCGAAACACTTGGAAGAGAGGAAAGTGATCGATAATAGTCAACATGGATTCACCATTGGCAAGTCATGTCTGACCAACCTACTTGCCTTCTATGACGACATAACCATGGTCAGCATAAATAGGAGCACTGCAAGTAGACTGAAGGGAGTGAGTGATTATTCCCTTTTATTCTGGTGAGGCCACATCTGGAGAATAATGTCCAGTCCTTCCCCCCACATTACAGAAATTATGTGGACAAATTGGAGAGAGTCCAGTGGAAGGAAACAAAAATAATTTGGGGCTGGAGCACATGACTTGTGAGGAGAGGGTGAAGAAACTAGACTGATTTAGTCTG